GCAGAGAAGTGTGCAGCCCCAAATGTCAGGAGTGCTGAGGTTGGGAAACCCTGAGTTAAATCGATCCCACTGCCCTTTGCGGCTTAGCCCAGCAATGAGGAAAATCAGGAATTGGAGTCGGAGCCAGACTACCTCCTGTTTGGGGGATTCCCCAAATCTCTGGGACCCCCCCCCCACTCTGATCAGACCCCACATGAAGAGTGCGATCCCACTGAGTTACCAAGACGGTCAGGCATCCTTGATAAGACTTGGGCTTAGCCAGCCTTCTAATTCTCTCTTTCTCGCCCAGAGCACCCAGCTTCCACCTGCCCCGAAATCCCCAAGTGCCCTGTATCCTCATTGGCCCGGGCACTGGCATTGCCCCTTTCCGAAGCTTCTGGCAGCAGCGACAATTTGATATCCAGCACAAAGGTGGGTCAGAGTTCAGCAGCCGTGGTGTGTCCACCCCGCCTGGACCCGGGGAGACCCGCCTGTGTCCCAGCCACCCAGACGAATGATGGCGTTACCTCTCTGTTGCATCACTGCCTGGGGAAGGGCGGTGGGGGGGAGGGGGGGGTCATAGTACTGACCGGACCCAGAGGTGAGGTCCACGGTTGTACTCCAAAGGACACACCCAAACAACTCTCCCAACCCAGTTCACCCTCGGGCCTGAAATTCCATCCCCAGAGGACATTTCTTTGACCGTTAAGATAGGACCCATCTGAAATGTCACGCGGCCCTGGAAGAATAAACCTTAAGCCTTCTCAAATGCATGTGTGGGTGTGGGATCGTCCCAAAGGTGGTTCCTCGAGGGCGAGCCTTGCTGTGTGAGAGACACAACACATCAGCTTTGGGAGGAGAGAGAGCAAGAAACCCACAGTGGCGGTATGCATTAAACGGGGATTTATTGAGCGTGTAAGAAATGCCAAACGCTGTTGTGGGTGCCACAGGCACGACGATGAGCAAGACAGAGAAACAAGTTAAAATAATATTAATAATAATAATAATAATAAGCTTCCGTCCTAGACCAGTCATTCTGGTTGGAATAGCTAATACTGATAAAGGATTCGCCGCATGCTGGGCTCCCCTGTTTTACTTCTCAGTCACCCTGGAAGATAGATGCTATTTTTATTTCCATTTGCACCTGGGGAAATACATACCTAGAACATTAAGTAAGCTGCCCACCATCACACTGAGCTGGGATTTGAACCCCGGTAGTATGGCTCCACAGTCTAGGCCTCTAGCCCTACCCAGTTGGGGGAGGGGGGTGCTAAATACCAGGGGGTAGGGGCAGAAGGAAGGATTGAGACCCTGAGCGCACCGTACCTGCTTCCCTCAGTGTGTGCATGCGCGAGTGTGTATGTACCCCAGCCTGTCCCTGTGCTTGTGTGCCTGTATCCGCAAGGTACACACCAAGGCTTTCAGCACCCCACCCCTGGCATCACCACCCACAGCCCCAGGTCAGGCCTCAGAGCTGTCAGTGACACGAGATCTTCCCGGTCCCCAGGAATGAGCCCCTGCCCCATGGTCCTGGTGTTTGGGTGCCGGCAATCCAAGATAGACCACATCTACAGGGAGGAAACTCTACAGGCCAAGAACAAGGGGGTCTTCAGAGAACTTTACACGGCCTACTCGCGGGAGCCAGACAAACCAAAGGTAACATCCGGCCCGTTCACAGTCCCCACGCCCCAGCCCAACACCTGCCGACACCCCCACCTTTCCCGAATTCTCCTGCGGAACATTGCTCTGTACTTCAGGAAGCAGGAGCACAAAAATACCGATTTAAAATATTTCACAGCCCATATCCTCTGATGCCACTTCTATGAAATATCCGGAACAGCCAAATCTGTAGAAACAGAGAGCGGATTTGTTGGTTACCAGGAGCTGCGGGGACGGGGGGGGGCTGACTGCCGATGGGAACAGAGTTTCCTTTGGGGGTCATGAATAAGTTCTAGAACTAGAGAGAGCGCTGGTGGCCCAAGATTGTGGTATACGAAATGCCACTGAATTGTCCACTTTAAGAGGGTTAAGCGGTTCATTATATGTGGTGTGTATTTTACCAGAATAAAAAAAAATACTTAAAAATATGAATAATAAAAAACCGAAAAACACATTTAACAGTCCATTAGAGGCACTACCCGTCAGAATGGTCACAGGCCATCGGACTGGAGCACGCTCCTGCTGGGTCTTGGGGAGACCCAGGGGGCGGTCCCCGGAAAGGGCCCAGGGCAGCTGGGGTGGGGTGGGCACTCAGAGGGTCCGGGCAGTGGCTGTTTGACAACCCGTGTGCTGGGTTTGTGCGGGTGTGAACTGAGAGCCCCTCGCCCCTCCCGCCTCTTGCTGTCTGGCCTGGGGCCTCCCCGGGACCCCAGCCCAGGATGTCCGCAGGCGCGAAACCCGCACCTCGCGGAGAACAGGCGTTCCCACCCCGTGGGTGACCGCCGGCCGTTGCAGAGGGGAGCAGGTAGATAGTGCCCTGCTCTGTGCTGCTCCAGGGGGTGGCGCTGGGGTGTGTCCTCCCCCCTAGAGGGTCCTTAGCACGGCTGAGCCCCATTCACACACCCTTGGCTTGCCTTTCACTCTCTTACTCCCTCCTCCCGGTCCCCTGGGGTCACGGGTGTCGGGCTCCGCTCCCCTGGGGGAATGAGATGCACCGGACCCCAGCTCCTCCCCATGGCTCTTCCTGTTCCCCGCAGAAGTACGTTCAGGACATCCTGCAGGAGCACTTGGCAGAACCTGTGTACCGAGCCCTGAAGGAGCAAGGGGGCCACATTTACGTCTGCGGGGACGTCACCATGGCTGCTGATGTCCTCAAAGCCATCCAGCGCATCATGACCCAGCAAGGGAAACTCTCAGCAGAGGATGCCGGCGTGTTCATCAGCAGGCTGAGGGTGAGTGACAGGCCGGCTTCTTGGATGCCTTTTCTGGCATCCAGTTCCCGTCTCCTCTTCCTCACCCCGCCTGTCTCAGCGATCGGGGGAGCCTTGATGACATCCCCGGCTGCTCCATTTTCCCATGTGTGGCTCAAGGTGGAGGATACTGGTGGCCCCAGACCATAGTTGAGAGAGAAGGAAGGGTGACTGGGCGCTGGGTCAGTGCAGGCGCAGGTATTAAATAGGGATGGTGGCAGTGCTGTGTGAAAATAACAAGTGAGTGGGCTGCTGGGTGCCTAGATAGAAACCGTCCACACCCAACTTTTCCTGCCCCCAGAACCACGCTGCAGCACTGCCCTGCGTGGTGGTGCAGGTTGAACACTGCACAAAAAAAAAGTTTGTCTAAGGCCAGCCACCCTATGTTTGCACAGAGCCATGTACCTTGGCACGGAACTGTGTCTACCCCAGAAAGAGGGGTACTTTCACCTAATTTGCACAGAGGCTAGAAGCAGCCCAGCAAGCAGAGTCCTGATTGAGTGGCCAGCTGCCCCAAATAGGAGGAACCGAGTCCCATGCCTCCACAAAGCTCCAGAGATGATCCCACCCTTCCCCCTTCTTCCCTAAATGAGCATTAAACATTTTTTTGCACAAGAAGCCTTGCCCTAAATCTAATGCTAAACCCCAGGTGGTTAAAAAAAGAAGAAGGAGGAGGAGAAGAAGAAGAAAAAGAAAAGAACTTTCTGGTAGAAATGCCACAGATCCAAGGGGAGCGGCAGAGAGCTCCTATCGCTCAATATCTTTGGTATGAGCCTTGGAGACACTGTCATAGATTCCCGGACCTCTGCAAAATAAGGTTCAAAGACTACCCCAACTAAAGGTGAACCCATTCTACAAATGTGCAACTTCCTTCAGGACCGAAGGGTGCCAGAACTGAACTCTGTGCCTCGTTGTGCTTCACTGTGATTCCGCGTTGTTCCCCCAACCAGTGCCCTGCCTCAGCAGTGGGGCACACTTTCCCCTTGTTGAATCCTCAAGGACACGGCCCTGGGAGGATGTTCTTGCTGCCTGCCCCTCAGTTTGCTGAAGGAGCTCCCACATTCTCCAGAAACTCTTAGACGCCAGAAATCGGTCATCACTTGTGCTGTTTCTTGAATCCCCAGAGGAGATTCCTCTTTTTTGGTTGCTTATTTCTGCGCAAAGATGCCCGTCTTTGGATAAACTCATGTGTGCCCGCCAAGTCTCCACTCTGGTGGCTGTGCAGTGTTCCCTGAGTGCTAAACGGGGCACCTTTCTCTTCTCCCATCTCTGCTGGCTTCTTCGGGCTGTGATGCCTTTTACACTCCACCCAGCCATGCCCAGAGCTGAACTTTGCAGGAACAGGAGGAGGGAGAGAAGGGGAGCGAGGTTTCCCTTTGACCTCCTCACTCCCTCTGTCCTCAGAATCGGCAGCTCTGTTTCTGGACGCAAAGCGAAATGTTCTTTGCCCCCTGGGCTGGAGAGACCGCTGTGCGTTGGAGAGCCCGGGGTCTTGTGAGACACAGCCCTGGAGGCCAGAGATCCTCCAGGGGGCGCTGGGTTACACCTTGTTTCTTTAGGAACCGACTTCTTTTTTTTTTTTTTTTTTAATTTTTTTTTTTAACGTTTATTTATTTTTTTGGGACAGAGAGAGACAGAGCATGAACGGGGGAGGGGCAGAGAGAGAGGGAGACACAGAATGGGAAACAGGCTCCAGGCTCCGAGCCATCAGCCCAGAGCCCGACGCGGGGCTCGAACTCACGGACCGCGAGATCGTGACCTGGCTGAAGTCGGACGCTTAACCGACTGCGCCACCCAGGCGCCCCTAGGAACCGACTTCTTTAGGGATATTCCATTCCAGGGTGTCAGCGTTGTCTGTCCCTTTCCCGCCTTTGGCTGGCATTTGAGGGCTGTTTCTGTCCCCCAGGATGACAACCGGTACCATGAGGATATTTTCGGGGTCACCCTGCGAACATATGAAGTGACCAACCGCCTTAGATCTGAATCCATTGCCTTCATTGAGGAGAGCAAAAAAGACACTGATGAGTAAGCAGCCTCCATCCTGTGGGCAAGGGGCGGGCAGGGGTGTCAGGCTTCGTTTCACGCTGGCTTTCCCACAATGTGGGGGGGGGAGGGGAGAGGGAGGAGGGCAAATGCACATTCTCAGGCCACCCCACACCTGCTGACTCTGAAACTCTGGAGCGAGAACCTCGGTTTGTGTTTTAGAAAGCCCTCAGGGGATTCTGAGGCCCCTCCATGTGTGGGAACCCGAGCTTTGGGTGCCCAGCGTCTGCCTGGGGCGCCCCCTAGTGGAACAATGGCTCCAGCCTCCGGGAAGGCGTGTTGGAGCCACTGCTCCCCGCATTTACACCGCCTCCCACGCCCCCCAAGTCGCTCAGAACATCCTCATCCACACAAATCCCAATTGGTGTTATTATGACAAGTTTACCGGCCTTCTGGAAGTTGCTGGGAACAGTCAGAGGCGTCGCGAGACTGGATTGAGTCTCAGGATTTCAACCTTATCGGAAGGCCTTGACCTTTGAACTGCGATTGCAACGTCGCTCACCCTATTCCCGCCGCAGAGAACTTCCAGACCACCACCGGATGCCCCTTGTGTTGAATTAAGTGGGAATTGGGCTGTCTCGTTTTTGGTAGCAGAGGGAAGACACCCCGTTTCTTTTTTCCTTAAGTTTGTTTATTCTGACAGAGAGAGAGAGAGAGAGAGAGCGCGCCCACGTGCATGTAAGTGGGGGAGGGAGAGAGAGAATCCCGAGCAGGCCCCACGCCACCAGTGCAGAGAGCCCGATGCGGGGCTTGAACTCACAAACCTCAAGATCATGACCTGAGCGGAACTCAGATGCCACCCAGGCGCCCCAAGACGCCCCATTTCTTAAGCAGCCTCCTTTCTCCCCCCTTAGGATGACATATTTCGTGTCCAGTAGGCCCACACTTGATTGCCTTTCAGATTACAACCCCTCTGGCTGTCAGAAAGCCCCTTTCATTGTCCCTCTTCCTGACCCTTTGTGTTGTTCATTCCAGAGGAGCCCCAGCTGGGGGGGAGGAGTGGGGGGGGGGGCGCAGGCTACAGAAGAAACGGCAGAGCTTGGTGCCCTGTGCCCAGAGCTTGGTGGCTTCCCTGGGGCTCTGCAAGGAAACAGAGCAGCTCTGTTCTGTGACACTAACTCCCTCCCTCCCTGTCTTCCTACAGAGTTTTCAGCTCCTAACTGGCTCCTCTTGCCCAGATGGATGGCCGGGGGGGCTGTCCCCTGCGCTCCGGCAGGGGCGGCTGCAGGTTTTCTAAGCGTGGACACTGCTGAACCTTCCCTACGGGACCCCACGTGGCCCCCGCTGTCCCTCTCGTCCTGTCACCGTGGTTGTTCCTCTTCTGGGTCCCCACCCCTCGGTGGTTTCCTTGGCCCTCCTGGGTTTTCTCCTTGAGTTTTCCTGCTGCAATGCAATGCCTTTATAATCCACAGTGGCTCTTCCAAAACTGTGTCCCCCTCTCTCTCTCTCTTCCTGACAAGGGCAAATCACTGGTGCATGAAATCACTGGAACATGGCCGTCGCTCCCATTAGGGCTTGTTTTCTGGGGTTTCCCCTGGAGAGGCTGCAGGGACTGGTCAGGAGAGTCCCAGCCAGTCCCTCTGCTGCTGAAGCCCCCCCCCCATCCTTTTTTTATGATGACGTCCTCGTTGTGTGTGTATATGTGTGCACGTGTGTGCACGCATGTGACAGGCCTGGGTCCCCGTCGTCTGCCCTCTCCCCTGGACAGGCGTGTTGCCGGCAGCCTCTCAGTGCCCCAAACCGTGCCCTGGCCTTGTATTGGTTCCTCACGTGTCCATAACTTAAGATCTGTGCTCCGTGTTCCTGAAATTCTTGTCCCTGAAGCACCTTAACGGTCCCCGGTTGCAAAGGGCAGGGAGAAGGGAGTGTGACGATTAAGGGCAAATCTCCGTCAAAAAGGGGCTCACGGAATTGCTTGCGTTTAGATCCCAGCACGCACCAGTGAGCAGCCCTCTCTGGGAAACTAACCCATCTCAAGGATTAAGCAAACCCCCTCCCTGATCCTACCCTGCCCGAGCCAGATAGGATCACCTGATTTGGCCCTCCCCAGATAATCCTACCCGCAAGTCTGGGAAGTAATGTTCCTGTCTTTGCCACCAGGTGACTTGGGGCAAGTCACTTGTCCTCAGTTTCCCCTTGTAATGTTATGAAGCTAAAAAGAAAAAAAAAAAAAAGAAGAAGAGTATGAATAGATGAAACTTTAAGGTGGTGGAGACTGGAGAGCATCTCAAGGAAGAGTCTCATCACCAGGTTTTTTGTTTTGTTTTGTCTTCTCCAAATGAGGACTTGCCGATCTGCCCTAGGAAGGGAATCACAGAAGCCCGTCCAAAAGGGTAGTTGGAGAGGGAAGCCATAACGAGGCTTCACATAGCTTCTTGTACGGGACCACAACCCAGGGTGGCCTGCCCCACACGCTCTTGGACTTGTACAAGTGATCCCGTGGTTTCAAGCCTGATAAAATAATTTTGACACATTAACGAACTTTGACTCCAATCAAAAATGGCCAGCAGTCTTCAGTGCGAGGGGCCTGCCCTGGGTCCCCAGGGCTGGAAGGGGAGCCTTCAGACAGTGGGTGCTTCTGTTTGGTTGTGTCCTAGCATACAGAGAGACAGCTTTGCCTTTCTGTAGGGCACAGTGGGCATTTCCTGATGCTCCGCTTGGGGGCCCTGCCAAAGAGAAAGTGCCCCCGACCCTCTCTAGAAGGGACTTAGGACAGGGGGCGCCAAAGAGGCGTCCCCAGGAGGGGACAACCTCGGAGATTCTTAAAGGCAAAGGGCAAACTAGACCTCGCCTTTCTCCGCCCGCCAGTCATTCAAGGAGGAATTCATCAGCGCTTCCCTCTCCAGACCAAGCTCTGCGCGTGCTTCTCCATCCCCAAATAAGTACTTGTGTGAAGTTCCTCTGTGCATCTTCTTCGTATAGCCCTGCCCTTCTAGTAGCAGGCAGGCGTCGGGAAACATCATCTCATTGTGTCAGGGAGTCCGAAGCAGCGATTATAGAACGGGGATGCATCTTTCGTCCCCAAAAAGGAGTTTTGTTTTTAGAGTAAACGCCTTTCAACTCCCGACACAAGCTGCTTCATGATGCCCGGGGAGAAGACTGGAGATCGGTCTGATGTGTTTCTCTCCTTTGCCAGAATCCCTGTTAGGAAAAACCTCGCTGTTATGAGCCTATCGGGAGGCAGAGTGAAGTCCAGGGTCAGGGTTTAGGTCTGATCCAGGGTGGGTAAATGCTGCCCTCTTGTGGTGGTTTTTAGTTCAGTCCCAGTAGCCAAAACGAGGGGCCCAATTTGGCTTCACAACAGGTGAGCAGAAAGTAGGATTCACTGGGCATTTGGGGGTCACCTAGGCTGCAGCCCTTTTGGTCCCTCTCCGCCTTGAACTGGCCTGCCGTGGCTCCAACCGCATTTAACAAAAGTGAGTTTGGCCAAGAGGAAGGAGACATCCCCAGCAAACAGGAAAAGGTGAAATGGTCACGCTCCCCATCTTGACGATGAATCCATAATCACGTCTTGACTATGAATCCCGCACCTCGTGTTATGAAAGAAGAGAGGTAATTAAACTCCCTGAGCGGAGGAATGTTTTCCTGATTGGTTTCCACAGAGTGAGGCAGCCCGGGACCTTTCCGTTCGGGGAAATGCTTCGGACTTACCGAAATGGAGCTTTTTGGAAACGGACCCGAGTCCAAATGCTAACTCTATCACCCTCCTCCCTGTTTCCACAGACAGCCCCGGGCTGGTGACTTAACCTTTCCAAGTCCATATACAGCACCTATATAGCAAAGTGGGTTAAATGAGATAACGCCCGTAAAATAACCAGTTATGCCTCCTGGCCCGCTGACGCTTTTGAATTTTTATTTTTTTCACTTCGTCAGTAACTGTATGCAGAAGGCGCAATGATGTGTACAGAACAATATACAGTTCCTGTTTGTGGAAGATTAGAATCTCGTATGTAGACACACAAGGCTTAGAATCAACATACATGTCTGGGGTTCGAGAACTGGGTGGATTGCACCTGCCGGCCTGGGGACACCAGGTTTCGAGGAAGTAGGAAAAGTGGGGACGAAAGGCACAGACTGGGAACGGTAAATCGGGGCTGGCTTCAGGCGTGGCTTTGGAAGGCTGTGGAAGCTGACGGGGGTGAGGCAGATGCCTGGCAGGTGAGCAGGGGCCAGGTGCTAGGGAGAGGCGAGGGCATGTCGAGGAATTTTGACTTCATTTGGTAGGCAGCAGGAAATCCCTAAGAACGTTTTTTCTTTTTAATGGGAAAAAATAAGGCGACTGGAATTGCGCTTGGAAAAGACTATTGGGGCTGCAGCACAGAGCGTGGATGGCTGGCCTGTTGAACTATCTGTGGAGTATTGTGGTTACCAAGACTGGACTGAGGGAAGAGGTAGATGCAGTGACAAAGCCACTCCAGGGGCTGAGTCACCAGGAACTGGAGACCTATCTGTTGCGGAGAAAGTCAAGAGTCTTCCCTCTAGGCTGAGAAAGGAGCCTCATGAGGAAACAACAAAACAAAAAACAAAAAAAACCAGCCTCATGGGAAAGAAGAGTCTACACTTGTTGCCATGATTACCAGCCAATGGGGTGAATCCTTCCAGGCTCCGGCCATGCCTGCATGCACACAAAGAGAACTGACCCCAGGCCAGTAGACATTGGCCTTAGAACACGGGATTTTCTTGCCAAACACATTCTCGGCAGCCACCTGCTTTGGACTTCCAAAAGGAGGTCAGGTTTTGCCCGAAGTCCAAAACAAGTGAGATTTTTTGACCCAGATCACGGGTAAACAGCTTCTATGCCAGTGTCATCAGGAAAACTGGGGGGTTAAGATCTTGTTTTAAGCCGGCCATTAACTGGCATATTTTCATCTCTGCTACCCTGACCTCTAATGTGTCACCATGGCCCCCTTACCCACAAAGCCTTCTGACTGAACTGGCCAGTTCATCTGAGACCACCTGCAGGTGACAAGGAGAGAGAAATACTCATCTGGGCATCCTAGAGGACTTGTCCATCCTCACTGACATCTCTCAACCCTTGTAAGGCTTCCTGCACCCAAAAGTCCTGGTTAGCTCAAGAATTAAAGGCCAGGGGCTGGAATGGGGGAAGGGAGATCCGAGAGTCCCTGCCCTACCTCCCACCGTTCGGGACTCATCACAGATGGTCCCACGAACCTGAATCTGACCTTCCGGCGCTGACACGAACCTGGTCTCTCCTTTCTCTATCATACACACCCTGTCCTCGGTCCCCTGCCAATCCCTGCCCCCAAACACCGATGAGACTCGGGTGAGTCTTAGGTGAGGACCCAGGTAAATGTTCACCCCTGGAACACGGGTCTTGAGTCTATTCCCTATGACTGCTTGTCAAAGCCCCGTGCAAGGGCGGAGGTCAGGGGTAGATATGCCTTTGTTTGTTGAGGCGTCTGAGTTGTCCTGGAATGTCCGAACGGTTCTGGACAAGAAGGACATGTCTGCCTGGTCCAGGACAGCGACCATTCTTAACGAGGTGGCCCTGGCAGGCAGGACCGAACAAACCTGCCTTAAGATGCTGCTTTTCCGTAGTCTTCCAGAAAATGACTCCAGGACATCAAAGTGCCCAGCTTGGCTCCCAAGCTGTCAGAGCCTCTGGTCCAGGGCCAGCCAACCTCAGCACTATTGGCATTTGGGCCCAGTTCTTTGTGGTGGGGGCTGCCCTGGGCATTGTAAAGACAGGATGTGGCATGTCATCTCTGGCCTCCACCCACTAAAAGCCAGTATCAGTCCCCCTCCTGCCAAATGTGACAACCAAATATGTCTTCGGACATTGCCAGATGTCCCCTGGGAGCAAAAACATCGCTCCTGGCTGCCCCAGGCCTTTTCATCACGGACCTACTGGAGTCAGCGGAGGACCCCTCGGCCTGATGGCTTTGTTTCCGTTATCTGCCACCAACTTGAGACTCCAAGGATTTGGTGGGGGGCCGGGGGGATTAAAAAAAAGTGGTTTCACAAACTCCCTCCCAAGACAGAAGGATGCTGCTTCCATCTCGGTAGGAGGCTGCGCCCTCGGCATCGCTCTGATTATGACCCGTGAAGGCCCAATGCCGTGCCGCCCTGCCTCCACCCTGTTTTCCTTGTGTCGCGCTGTCTTGTGATCGTAGACCCACTCTGGGCTCAGCAGTGGTTTCCTGGAAGGCAGAAAGAGAGAGAGAACACGCAGTTGGCCGCCCCTCCTTGCTGTCCCAATGGGCTTCCATTCAGGGTTGAGGAGCTGGGGAGGTGGGCAGAGTGGGTGTCACATGTCACCAAACACACACACACACACACACACACGCCGTCAGAAACTCGGACGTCCCCCTACCTCTGAGCTCTCGATGCTGCTAATGTCCGCCCAGTGTCCCATGCGCTCCGGCACCTTCCTTTAAGGACTGACGCCCGCCCCACGCTCCTCGCGAGGTTGTCCAAGCTGTGTTCACTGCATGCTCTCCTTCTAACTCGTCCTTGATGGAATTCAACACAAGTCTTATGCCTGTTTGCATTATGGTTACCATATTAAAAAGTGGAGTCGACTTCACTGGCTGTTGTCTGTCGTTTGATTTGCTTGGAGCTTCTCCCACCTTTGCTTGCTGTCGCTGGCCAGGTGTCCCCCCACCACCCCCACCCAGGAAGCCCACCCTGAGGGAGGTGGCAGAGATGGGTTGGGGAGTGGTCTGAGGCAGGGGAGGGGAGAGGCGGGGAGGGAGGGAGGGAGGGAGGGAGAGCAGTCCACCTGATCCGAGGGAAAGCCGGAGCTGCGATATTGTCGCAACAGAAATTTCAGCCAACGGTGCAGGGAATTCTGAAGGTGACCTTCCGGAGCTGTCGCGTGGTTTGCGGCCAGAAGGCTGGGTTTCATACCCCTCTGTCAGCCAGTCCTGGACCAGCCTGCTCTCTGCAGTGGAAGCCACCCCCGAGGGGTGGATTGCTGAGGGCACCCCAGGATGCTTCCAGCAGCTGGGGAACAGTTCTAGAGCCTTGACATGGCTCCAGATCCCGGTGGAGCATTCCCAGCATCCTGTCCACACTGCCCCACAACACCTTTGCCCCCATCATGGCTGCATTCACTGGATGGGCCCCAAAGAAACTGTACCACCTTCGCCCCAGCCCTCTCTCCCTGTATACACAACCCCGAGGACCCTAAAACCTAATTCCTAGCTAGCTTCAGACCCGGTTCCAGAAGGAGGGAGCCTCAAAAGCACCAAAAGGACAGATGAAGAGGAGCTTACCCCAAATGCCCCGACAGGATGGTTAGTATAAAAGGATAAACTGGGGGGGGGGCCCCCAAGGCTTCGTCATGCCCTTCTGGACATGGCCATTTGGATGCCGTGACCATTTTGACATTCACGCCTATTTCCTGGCCAAAAAGCACAAACAGCTAGATAGCCTTTTAAACTACAGAATAACTTCCCCAACATCAAACATTCCCCACATACCATCCCTGCCTTCTCCACCCTATTCCTGAACCTCAGGCCCAAGTTCAAATGCGAGATGCAGGTCAGAGATGGGGGTGGGACCAGAGAAGCCCTCAGTGTCCAGCTCTACCCTGCCTCACAGAAACTAATTAAAATAATGGCTAAGAGTTATCAAATGCCAGTCTTCATGGGAATAGTTAGACGTGTATCATCACTCAACTTGGGAAACTGAGGCACAAGGAGATGAGCCAGTTTGTGCAAGGTGAACGTAGCTAGTACATGTTACAGGTAGAATTCGAACCCAGACTGTCCAGCTCTAGAATCTGCATTCTTCACCACCAGCCAGTGCTGCTGCCAGGAGACCCAGACAGTCAAGTTCAAATCCCGGCTCTTCCACTTCCCGGCTGTGCAACTTTGGACGAGTTACTCAACCTCTCTGTTTCTTCCTTTCTGCATGTCTAGTAGGCTGCGGTTGTTTCAACTTCATTGCCTTGCAATGGGATTAAATGGGTTCATATATTAACATATTCAACACACATAGAACAGTATAGGATAGGATAGAATCGAATAGTCCCATATATGAATAAATAAATTAAGGTCCTAGCTTCCGATGTTCTCAGCTTTGTTTCTCTTATGGAAGCTCCATCTTTCTTCTTAATTTTCCATCTTTCTTTTAAAATTTTTTTCTAGTGTTTATTTATTTTCGAGAGAGAGTGACAGAGTGCAAGCAGGGGGAGGAGGGGCAGAGAGAGAGGAGACACAGAATGTGAAGCAGGCTCCAGGCTCTGAGCTGTCAGCACAGAGCCCGACGCGGGGCTCGAACTCACAGACCGCGAGATCACGACCTGAGCCGAAGTCGGACGACGCTTAACCGACTGAGCCACCCAGGCGCCTGTCACACGGCTCCTTCTTGGCATAATTCACCATTTGCTATTCAGCCCTGGGTGCCTTAGGCACCCCTTCAGACTTCTGTCATCAGAGGAGACATTTTAAAAGCCAATTTCCTGGGTTTCTCCCCCCGCCTGCCCATTAGCGCTTGCTAGGGATAAGTTCTGACTTCTGAATTTTTAACCAGCCCCCCAACCTGCACTGGAGTTTTGACAAGTCCAGCCTCAGAGGTGCCTGGGAACAATTTAACATTTCTCTGCATCCTGACTGGGGTGACTGCTGTTGCCTGGCAACCAGGTGAAAAAAAAAAAAAAAATCCAAGTTTACACCAAAACAGAACCTTCCCAACCACAAATCAAAAGGAGAAGGGGGTGGGAGACAAGTGGGGGAAGGAAAACGGATCTTTGAGTCACTGCAGGTCAATATAGAATATGGGCCTCACAAATAGTAAAAATGTGCTTTTTTTTTTTCCTTCATTGGACCCTTGGCAAAATCACCGAGAGAACAAAACCAGAGAAATTACAGTCGAGGGATCAGTATGGAGCTTGGAACCCACATCACTACAAGGAAATCGCTTTAGCAATGGTCTCTGGAGGAAAATAAGATTAAGTTAATCAAACAGCAGACAATTAAAGCTGAGTAATTAGTAA